CAATATCATTTGAAATTAAATGTGCTAGTATTAGAGGAGTGAAAAAATATTTTATAAAATTAAGGAATCAAATTAAAATTGTATATAAAGTTGAAGGATAAAAATGCATTTTTACCCAATGTTAGTTAAAAAAAGAGAGGAGAAACACCTCTTAATCTCTTTTTGTATTTATATTTCTAGGGTAAAATTCATTGACCCCTAAATTATGGATCCCAAAACATTTAGGATCATAAATTCATTTTTTGTATCATGTTCCTTTTCAATATGAACAATCTTAATAAAAATTAACTTTAACTGTTAGTTAACCAGAAAATGATAGAAAAAAACTTCAAAATTACATAAAAAACTAATAAAATTTTTTTGATCCTGTTTTGTAATTTTTTGATTATTTTTATAATTTTTTGTCATTTTTTATAATGTTTTAGGTCCTTTTTTATTATTACTTTTAGTCAATTAATCATTAAAGTTAATTTTTATTAATAATAGTGATCAAGTTGTATTGTTTTTAAAAATTAAAATAAAATATTGTATCAAAAAGAAATTTAAATCCTTTTGTAGTTTAACTTTAAGAACTGATTTCCTATTTTAGCCATATTCCAATGTCTCCTTTGCAATTTTTTTTATTGTTCTGACTCGGCCAACTGTCCTTTCCATATGTCAAACACGTGTTTGGTGGTTTGGAAAGCCTGATCCGGCCGGTCTAGAAGTTTTATGTATTTATTATTTATTTTTTTTATCATTTTTAATAAAGTATCTAAACACGTCTTGTCAAAGAAACACAGCAAACAAAGATACAAAAGTCACAACTAAGATCTATTTTACATCGGGCGATCGTACATTCATTTGAAGGGCCAACATGCGCACGAATTAATCAAATTATTCTTGGTCGATCCACATAGGGGTGAGAATCAATCGGTTCGGTTCGGTTTGATTTCAAAATATATAAAATTGATCGATCGAATAACACTGAAAATGAAAACCGAATCGAACCGAATAAGCCAATCGAACCGAATAAGGACCAAACCGAAATTTGATAATTCGGTTCGGTTGGTTAATTCAGTTTTTCAGTTTCATATTTTTGTTATTAAAATTGGGCCTATTTTTTAAATATTAAAACAAACAACACTATAAAATTGGGCTTTTTTTATTCATTTTTTTCAATATGAGCTCATTCTAATTACACCCATATGACATAAAGCCCAAATATTATAAAGGTATGGATAATCAAATAAACAACCACAAATAAACACCGATGATCAAATAATGGCCCCATAATCCAGTCATAATACCTACTGATAAGAGTGACTGATTGAAATGAGGTTTCAAGTGATGTTATTATTTGTTATTCTTTATTAAAATAAAAAATAAAAATAAAAATAAAATAATTTATAAATTAAATATAATTTATAAATTAATAAATTATATGTAATTCGGTCGGTTCAATCTATTCGATTTTAAATTTTACTAACCGAATCGAACCGATCAACCAAAATATTTAAAATAAAAAAATCAAATCGAATTGAAAAATCAAATAAACCGAATCAAATAGACAAAATTCAATTCGATTCGGTTCGATTTTCAGTTTCGTTTCGATTTTACTCACCCCTAGATCCACATGCCCAGTGGCGAAGCTACGTGTTATGGAAGGGGGGCATCACTTGGGGAAAATAATGACGTACGTATTTTTATATTTCTGCAATTTGTTCTCTCTTTTTTTATACTTTATTCCCTTTATTTTAATATTTTAAACGTTAGGCTCATTTTAATCTTACATTTAGTTTAGTTTTAAAATTTAATTTTTTTAACTCAAAGCCTAGTAAATATTAATCCATCATTTTACTATACTTAAATATCAATATTATTTATTAATCCTTTTAAAAAATAAAAGAAAAATAATTTAACCAAATTAGACCAGTGTTATTTTTTTTTTTAGAATACTACTCAAGCATTAGGTAGGAAAAAGAGAATAGAGAAGGAAGATTGAATATTCAAGAGTAAATTCATTGAATGCCTTTGATTAGCTCGTTGCACTTGCGAATTTATAATTAAAAGTTGAATTAAGAAATAAAGATAAAAATAAAAAAGAAAGAAAGATAAATAATGTATTTGAAAGCAACAGAAAGGTTTTCCTTGTACCAAAATCTTGGTTTTGCCTCTCCTGACTTAAGATCCTGGCTCCACCACTAGACATGCCTGCAAGACTACCATAGGTGAAAAAGAATTGAAAAGAAACTGAAAAATATATAGCATACGCATGTTCGACAAAAAATCACTTTAATTTGCATAATTGTTGGAACATACATATTGGCAAAACTACATGATAGTGGGGGGGCAAATGCACCCCCTCACTTAAAAAATATTAGAAATATGATATGTAAATTTTGCAATTATGCACCTCTTACTCTTGACATTTTGCACCTTCTTAACTAAAAAAAAAATTTGAATTCAAAAATTTATTAGATATAAAATAATTTAATGATTTACCTATGATATAAAAAGCATATTTACATAGATCATATTAACTTGTTCAATATAATTTTTAAGAAAAAAATGATAATCAATCTATTTATGTTATTGTAATTTTAGTCTTATAATATAATTATTATTTTTAAAAAATATTAATTTTTTATTAAATTATCCTGCACCTCTTAGCTCCGGGTCTTGGCTCTGCCACTGAACATACACAAGCAAACAAACAAACAAATTTAAGGCCGTTCATTATTAGGATGAATGTGTTTTGAATTTTGATCGGAAAGCATGGGAAATAAAGAAAAGAAAGGGAAAATAAAAATATTCTAACTACAACGCTTCTCTTATAAATACTTCCTACTTCACTAAAATACACTACAAAACTGCAATTTATTTGGGCTTTTACATCTAAGATATACATTTACTAATTATATGTCACTTGTTTATTTTAAAAAATATCACCCCTAATCTAATCATTTTCATTAAAAAGGATAAAAAGACACACACAAACTTGCTTATGCCAGACTCACAACTCATAACATTTTCTAAACGAGAAAGGTGGCATTGTTGTCACTAGAATAGTTAATGTTGGAGGAGTGCAGGAGGGATGAGATCAGGGGACAATCTTTTTCCATATGGCACGTTTGGTAAGTAAGAGAAGGTAAAAAATGGAATGATATATTTTAAAAAACAATGAAATAAAAAAAGAATAGAGTACCCAAAATATCCCAATATTCAACCCCTCCATGTATCTCCCTAGCTGAGGGGAAAAAAAAAAGAAGAATGACAATTAAGTCTTTAAAGAATGAATTATTGATAGTTAAATTCTTAAAAAATTAAATTTTTTTTACAAAATAAATTTTAAATATCAATTCAAGTAGTTACAACAAATAAAATTTTCTGCTACAGTCTAAAAATTATATTTAATATTTAAATACTTATTTACAATTAAAACTCCTACATTCATAATAATTTGGACCAATATTTTTAACTTATTTTTTTAAAAAAATTTGTTTGAAATTTAACTGATATTAATTCAATATTTTGGGACCTAATGGTCATTCTCCCAAAATAGTTTGTAATAAAATTTCGAAAATCAACATATGTACAAACCCAAAAGATAATGAAGTGTAATAATAGGCCATAAATCATCTATAAATTAAAGAAATGACGAACTCGCAGATAAAAGAGTCTGGACGAACAAATGAGAGAGTCTTAATATAATGGCACACAATCCTCTATGGTCGCATAGGGCAGATCCAACAGAAGGAAAAATAAGATGAAGATGCCATGGGTATTTTGGACCTTTCACACCATTTTCCTATATTTTGGCTTCAATGACGCCGAGCACCTTTCTCACCATCGAAACGGATTATTAGAAACAAGATTAATTGTTTAGCAAACTTTGCAAAATGGCTCATAAATAAGGGAAGATTACAATAAAATCTTTTTGAATTATATAAATGATAATTTAATATCTTAAAATGTTATAACTTCAATGAAATTTTTAAAAATTTTTGTGTCAATAAATTTTAAAATAAAAGGATAATTTTACTCTTATTGAAAATAACAAGCCCGGCCCAATCACAATTTTGTTTAATAAATAAAAAATTTTATTTTGTGAATTATAAGAGTTAAACAAAAAATCACAACTTATCAAGTGTAATTTTTTTTTTCAAAATAAAAATCCTCAATCACAAATTTTACTTAAGGAATAATAATTTTTGTTCTATTAATTGCAAGAGTTGGATAAAAAATCATAATTTATCAAGTGTAATTTTTGTTATTAAAAAATAAATTCTTAAAATAACAAGTTTCAATTACAATTTTTATTTAAGAAATAATAAGTTTTATTCAAAGAATAATTACAAGAATTGAATAAGAAATTACAACTTATCAATAATAATAAAATAATTTTTTCAATTTAAAATTTATTGACGTGAAAGATTTCAGTGAAATTATAACATTTCGAGAGATCAAATTGTCATTTATATAATTTGAAAGGATTTTATTATCATTTTCTCTAAAATAACAACATAAATTTTTTTAAAAAACTGTCTTATAAATAAGAATGAAGAGCCTTTTTTAACTGCAAGTATATAACCTATTACGAAATTTATATACATTATATTTAGCATTTATTTTAACTTATGTTAAAATCATAAATTGAATTTAATTACTTCACACCTTCAAAATTAATATTCTCTATAAGTTATAAATAATAAATATGATAATAGTTTCCTCAAAATATGTATGGATCTATTATTTATATTTTTTGTCGAGAAAATCTATTGTCACACATCTTTTAAATTTTAGAGAGAAATACATGTAACTTATGAAACTAGAAGCTAAAAGTATACAACTCAGACAAGTCTTAGGAATTAAATAACTCAATGTTTTATATGATAATCAGAAATTCAAAGCTGGTTACGTGAGTGAGAGAGAAAAAATCCTTCAAATAATTAAACGAAACGTGTATTTTTGTTCTACGTAGGTTGATAATGAACCGAGAAACAAGGAGTCGTATAAAGTAGTACCAGAAAAAGTCTTCGAAATTCAACAACTTCAATTCTCATCTATGTTCAAAGACAACGATTTCTGAATCTGAAGATCATCATCGTGACAAAAATATACATATAACGAAACTTAACAAATCAAATTTTCATCGTCGTGTAGATTCACCTTATCACTCACTACATCTCGAGCCGAACGAGCTTTCTCCGATCGGATCTAAGATTGGTTTCCATGGCTGAACTCCATGACCATAAAGGCTTCTTTTTCCTCCTCCTCTTCTTCTTCCACCTTGTAATCCACAAGCCGACACTGAAACCCTATCTCTGTGGCTCAACGCAAGGTGGCTCGACAGAGGGACGCGACCGAGCCGCGGCTGATTTTCGTCCTCCTCGGCTCGGTTCACGATAGTGCTCGTGGTTTTAGCTATGGCGGTGAGCCGCTTGGCGAGTGAGGCCAAGTCAACCGGAGAAACATCAGCCTGTAGGACGGAGCACGGTAGCTTAAAGTAGACCTCCCCTGGCCGGAGCTTCGCGTCTGCCTTCAACGGCGTCGTCGAATTCGACGGCGACAGAAGCTGAAGCGTCGTACATACGAAGTGCTTCGGAGGATCGCCAGTGAGTTGCCTCACTGAAACCGGCTCGAGAAAGTCCTCCACGTAGCCGTTGAGATGAACGACACGGACGTTCTTAAACGCAGTCGTTGACGACGAAGACGACGATCTACAAGAAGAGACGCAGCCTCCCATAGTAATGAAGTTAAGATCTCAATGAACGGATGATTTGGGTTTGAATGAGAGAGATGTGTGAGAGGATATTTGAAGAGTGAGATATTTATATATAAAAGAATGAATCCAAACATTAAGATAAAGAAAAGGCCACAAGATAGGTATCCCAACCCCACCAATTATATACTTGAAGTGCCTTTTTTTCTGGTTTGTTGTCATGGTTGAAAAACGGAGCAAGTCAATGCATGCTTGCTCTATAATCTACTCGACAAGTGGCGTTATATATACACACACATGGGTTTAAAAATTTAGCTAGTGTATGTAGGCTTCAGGCTGCGGCCACCACACGTGATTATGTTGAGTTTAGGTTAATGGACGGGGAAATTAATAAATCTCATACTTCTTATGTTAAAAAATTAAAGTATTGTTAATTAAATTTTGCCTTTAAATAAAGTAATTATTTATCTTCAAATTAATATTATCTTTATATTTTATCATTATTTGATAAGATGTATTCCTTTAAAATAAATATAAAGTAATTATTTACTATGAGTATTTAAAAAACATATTAATTATACTTTAAAAATACTAAAAAATGCTTTATATTTTTAAAAATTTAACTCTCAAAAAATGTTTTATATGTTTTAATAGAAGAAGTAATATTAAGCTACAAGTTACACTTATCACTTTGAAAGACTCCTATCTTATTTAAATCTAATGAGGCCTGAATTTAATTTAGTCGATATTAGTATTAGACATTAAATATCTAAATTCAATTCATATACTCTTATAACATAATATTTTTAAAAGCCACAATATTCATAAATTAGTTAGGCATAAATAATTAATGTAACTTATCTTAAACTCCGTGTAAGGCATAAAACAAATCGTTGAAATGTTCAAAATCTGTCTTTAAGTTTATCAAGAACATATTGGATATATAAACAAATGGTTAAATCTCTGTTTTGAATAGGATTATTGGCTCAAAAGAACAATGTGAGCAATGAAAAAAATCTAAATTATTTTTTTGGCCAGATACATCTATATGTTAATTGAGTTAAATTTAAGCTTAGTATCATTAGGTTAAATTAGAGCAAGTCTTTCGTGTTCGTTTACAATATTTGAACCTCAGCCTGCCTTAAAAAAATCGAGTCCTTTTCAATCATTCTACCGGTTGGTGGGACTTGTATTATTATTGTGACATTTTTGGGTTTAATTTAGTTTAATTAGGATGAATTTGTAATGAGAATACGGCTCTTGGGACCTTTATGTACATTTTCACACTTATTAATGTCCTTCAGCTAGCCTCAAGCCGGCAGGCAGAACTGGGATGCTTTTTTTTCTCCTGTTAATGAGCTCCAGTATTTCATGTCTTTAAATAAACTAGCTAGATTAATTCATTCAGCATAACTAGGACTTGAACATGAAATCTCTAGTTAAACACTTAAATTGGATCAACTCTGATTCCTTAACTGATCCAAGCACCACATGACTGTCTTTTTTTTTTTTTGGTTACCTATAAGTATTCTTCTATTATAAACAATCATGTTTGAGACTTATTAGGCACTAAATGTGAGCATATCATCTATTAGAAATTCAAATCTTAATTTGCCAAGTTATGAGGGACTGGCTCCTTTTGCTAGATTTATCTTGATTGATGTCTATGTTTTTTGTAATACTAATAAACAGACACTGGATGGGCCCTTTCAGTGAAAACGTGACTTCCCCTATGTCTACGCCAAAGGAAGGGTTTAAATAATATTTTTATTATATATATAATTTTAATTGTAAAGGCAATTTAGTCATCCCTTTATTTTCTTTCTGAAAATATTTATTTATCATCTTAAAATGAACGTGACAATCACATTTAGAGAGGCTTGGTAACAGCTTGATCCCATAGCCATCTATGATTTATCAAATGATTCAAATATTCCTTTTTTTAATTTTATAAAAAAATTACAAAGTAATTCTTAAAACTTTTTATCCAATCAGCAATTCAGCATATTACTGTTAATTTTTTAAAAATTTTTCCCACTCTATCTGATGCTAACTAAACCGAACGTGACCTCTGATCTGAATTGCAGTCCTAAAGTTAAAAAATAATGTTCTCACTTATGAGTTATTTACTTCATGATATAATTAAAAAAATAATTTTAATAGCATAAATTTAGTTCTATATAGTTGGGCAAGCTCGCATCTTAGTACTTTATTAAGAGGCAGTTCTGGCGTCGCTTGCAATTTTTGCTGTGTTCATTTGTCGTATCTAATATCCACTCCATGCATTAATTAAATAATTAATTAGACGTTGTTAGATTAATTAGTATTTTAACTCATCATCAAATAATCTATTCGGCTTCAGCAGCAGACTCGTTGTGAATTTGATTTGCCAATTTTAGGAGTTTTCAATTTTACTAGAGCCAATTTTATTGTATAATGTGATCTTCCATATTCACGAAACTAAATATAGATATTAGTTAATACCTTTAGAAAGAAATATAATTAAAAAATTTGAATAAGTGTAATAGTACTGTAATAATGAAAACTGAACTTGAAAGGCAAATATGTTACTCTTTCCATCTCAATTTATAAAACACTTTTAAATAAAATCACATATAATAATAAAATTCATTAAATTTATTTTTTTAAGATAAAAATATAAACTTCTAGGAATATCCTTTATTTAATACTCTATTTATGAAAAAATATTAAAGAGATAATATAATGAAAATTTCAATATTAAAAAAGCATCATTAATAACAAAATTTTTATGAAAATGTCTTACATTTTGTGATAATGAATTTTTTTAAAAAAAGTGTTTTATAATTTATTAAGGTGCTAGTGTATGTTGTATCCAATTTATAATTTTACAATTAATAGGCTTGAACTAATGTGAAACTGATGCGTCAAATTCGAAAATTTAATTAGTTGCAGAATTTATTTTTTTAAATCACAACTCATGAAGAAAAGTTAGAAATTAGAAATAGCTTTTAAATCATTCTAATGAGTCAGAATAGTTGGTAACCGGCCAGATTATAATTGATTCTACAATGCTAAGTCCTATAAGGCTTCCGTTATTATTATTTTTCTCTGAAAAATCATAAGGAAAAAAAAATACAAGAATTTACCGTTCCATGGTTGCAAAATTTCAGAACATGTACATCGCTCATTTTATCTACAAGTTAATGATAAGAAAAAATCATTTACGCTAAAACACCCATGAAAAAACAGAGATTGGCACACTACGCGGTGGAGCCAAGACATGTAGATGAGAGGTGCAAAATATTAAAACTTTAAGGGTAAATAGTTAAAAAGTTCAAGGAGATGAATATAAAATACTAAAACATATCTGCTAAATTTATAATTTTTTATTCACATTACCACCACCCTGCATTCTGAGGGACACATGGAACCTCTCCATTTTTTTATCATATTCTTTTCTCTACTTCCCTAATCATAACATTTATTTTAAATCTATGAATAAAACAAATTCATTTAATGTATAGTCATATATGTCAATGGTCGTAATTATGGAAAGCCGATGAAAAATTATGATAACAAAAAATGGAGAGGTTTCACATTTCATTTTGAGATGACGGAGCCAAAATAAGAAAAATGGCTTTAATAATATTTGACTTTATAATGAGGACTTTATGATATTTTACTTTTAAACCTCAACTTGATAAAGTGCTTCAACAATTAATGCTTCAATCAACTTGATCAATAACTGCATAAAAATGCTTTGACCTCAACTTGGCAACTGGCGAAATGCTTGAAGCTTAGATTTCAAACATTTATCCAATAACGTCTTTCATGTCGAGAAGGAAGGGCCGAAATTTCATTTGTAAGTTATTTAAATATTTTATTCATATTACAAAAAAAAAATTAAAAGTAAATTTGCCATGAATTTTGAGATGTGTTTACAGATTTTCGGCATATTTAGATTTTGGAATGATATATGACAAATTATTCGATTTCAAATTTCATTGTCAATTTTTTATGGATTTGTGAATTTTTTTTTTGTTAAAAAAATTGTGACGAATTTATAACCGAAGGGTTTTCATTAGATGTTCTGCCGCAAATCTGTCATAATTGCTGCGACAGATTTGTATGAATTTGCATGCGTATAAAGCTTTTTGGCCTTTTATATTATGATTTTAAAATATCTTATAATGCCCCTTTTCTTTTAAAGAGTTAATATTTGTTTTATATATATATATATATATATTAATAATTCTATATTTCTGCACCTATTTTCTAAAATTTCAAAAATTTTACTCCTTTTGTTAAAAAATATAACGCATTTTTAACTGAATTTTACCATTTCAATAAAGTAATTATCTACTTTTAAACTAAATTCATCTTTTTATATTTATCCTTATTAAATATTCTATAATAAATATAAAGGCATTCATATTCATCAATGAGAACTCTTTTAAAAAAAAGATAATAATTACACCTTGAATAACTAAAATATCTTATATTTTTAAATATCTAATTCTTTAAAAAATGTTTTATATTTTTTAACGGAGAGAGTAATATATATTGTGATATGGACGTACCTATACCAGCTTGTTATACGTAGGTAATTATCATATTTAAATTCTAAAAAATAACAACAAATATTGAATAATAATTAGAATTATATAATTGATATTATAATTTTTATATTTTAAAAAAATCATTTTCAATCACATTGAGAGTGTGAAGTGTGAAACCAAATAACCAATGAAAGTGACTTATGAGATAAAATAAAGGAGTTTTCAGAATTTATCTTTAAAAAAAGTATTTGGTGCAAAGGATTCGTTTAAATATTGTCAAAGATAACGTGTAATGACGAGTATCAAATACAATAATTAAGTATTTGTTCAAAAAAATATATAATAATTTAGTAATTAACTCAAATAAAATAATGTTACAAATTGGCACATGGCTATGCACAAGAGCTAGCTTAATTGAGACAAAATTAGAAGTTGGCCCTCCTTTCATGGCCACACATATATAATTCTAAATTAAATAACCAAGTTTTGGTCAATTCCATTAAAAAAATATTAAAAATAAAAACACTTCGTGACGATTAAGACACAATAAAATGTTAAAAGAAACTTAAAATACGTTGAAGATAGTTTTGGTCAACTTGTGAACCGAGAGAGAGGTGGGGCAAGAAACTCACTTTGGGTTTCATATGCACATAAAACATAATTAAAAGAGTTTAATAAAATATGAATTATGTTATAAAACTAGATCCGGTAATTCAGGTGGATTAAGTTTATTTGGGTCAGGCTTAATTCAAATCGAGTTTAAAATATTCTATTTTTTTAAAAAAATTCATATAGTTCAGTCTGACTTTAACTTTTTTCGATCAAGTTCAAGTGACTGTTGAGACTTAGCCAAAATTATTAACTTTATATTTATATAAAGTTAAAAATTTTAGCTATTAAACTTATTCAAATTGAATTTAATTCGGGTTAGTTTATTTAAATGAAGTTTAAAATATTTTATCCTTTTAAAAAAATTTACATAATTAAATATAAAGTTAAAAATTTCAGCTATTAAACTTATTCGAAATGAATTCAATTCGGGTCAGTTTATTTAAATGAAGTTTAAAATATTTTATCCTTTTAAAAAAATTTACATAATTAAATTTAATTTTAATTTTTTTCGAACAAATTTAAATTAACGTGTTAGCTTGAATTATTGACTTTATATAAAACGTTGCATATCGGCAAAGATATTCAGATTGTCAAATGTAAAACGGGCCGCCGTTTATTAAAATCCCAACGTGGTACGACACACAAACAGACAAGCAGCAGCAAAGTGAATGCTGATTGATTTTCTGACATAGTAGTCCGCAACATTTCACTACACCACTCTCTATTCCAATCACAATTAGATTACATGAGTGTCTGAAATCTTCTGACTAGTGTGACGCTGCAGTCATCGGATTTTAACAACGCTTGAAAATTCAGGCTCAAAGCTCAATGAAACAGTGAGTAAAAATACAATTTTATAAAGATGTATTTTAACTATTTCCCCAGAACCACATGAACAATTGGATTGAGGGGGGTGTGTGTGTATGATTATGACACAACAAAAGATAGAGTTGCGATTTAGTGTATAATGTATCTTGTGTCTACATTTTCGGTAGCCATTAGATTGAATTGATAATATCTATAACATCACATGGGATACTCATTAGACAAGAGGATTTGAGACATTTATTGAATTCAGATCAGAGCCCCTTCTAATGAGCCTGTTGGGCAGCGACTTTGGAATCAAAATTAATACCCTTTGCAATTCTATATACAAGTAGGGTGAATATCAATGAAGAACTTTTGAAAGAATTTAATACTTAATAAGGATTTAAATAAATTGAATACTTGTTAAAATAAAAACCCTACTTGTCAATTGTTAATGTTTATTTGTTAGCAATCCTTTATAAAATTAAATTGCTTTTGTTGAGTCCTTTATTGATATTCTCCCTTTAAGTAACTTCTAAATTACTTCATCAGAGTTAATATAAGATAATTGAATCATTTATATTGATTTTTTTTAAAAATGTATCCATATTGAATGCATCATTTTTAAAAACAGTTATATTTTCCAAATATATAGAACCTCTTATCATGCTCATGGAAAATTAAAAATGATAATTTTTTAAAATAATTAATAATCTATCTGTTTATGTAAAGTAATTTATAAAAAAAGGTGAGTTAATTTTTTCTAAAAAAAAAAACCTTCATCCATGACATTTAAAGCATTGAAATTTATTAGGTGTAGTTCTCATTTGATTTCATTTTATAAATGTGATAACAAAAAAAAAAAGGTAATGACTTGTTAGCTTATTCGTTTTAATGCTTGATTTCACTGCAAGATATCAAATTCTTTCTTTTCTTTTATCTAAGCAAGATATTAAATTTTTACAATGGGTTAGTTCAACTTTTAGTTTCAGTTTGATTTTAACAAGGTTTAAAAATTATGTGTTTGAAACCTTAGCCTTGCTTGGACTAGTAGTCCTCCAGAATGGGAGATGATTGAATTTTTATTTTATTTTATGAGATAGTGGAACTTTTAGCCTCTTAAATTTCTCTTAATTATCAATTTAGTCTCTCAAATTTATTTTAATTATCGATTTAGTTTTTATTATTTAAAGAGAAAATAATATTATTAAAATATATTGACATGAATGAAGGAATATTGATGTTAGCCATGTAAATTAACTAAAAGAAGTGTAATTATTTAGGTAAAAAAAATTCATAATTTTTTTAAATAAAAGAACAAAATGCTACATAAAGGATTATATTGATAAAAATTAATCAAATTTGAAAGCTAATTTGTTCTCATTTAGCTATATAGGCAAGTCAAGTAATTAATATAATTTACACATTATACAAATTTTAGAGTCAATTTATTTTTTAAAATTTAAAAAATTAATGGGATAAGTTAAGTTTAAGAGACTAAATTGATAAAAATTAAACTCAAAAGATAAAAAAAAGATTGAAAGTTTCAGTTTTTTTTCTTATTTAATCTTGTTAATATTGTGAATTGTTCATAATCACATACCTTGATAGATATGAAAAACCTATTGGCCAAAAGAAAGAAAGAAAGATGTGAAAAACCTCGCTTCTTTTCAATAGTTTCTTAGAGAGCATAAAAACAAAAAAAAAAAACACAAATAGATCTTCGTGCTTAATGGGCCGTTCATTTGGCCCATGATTTCACACCGGGTCTCACTTTTATTGAGGCCTGCATCTCTTAAATCTGAATCACATTTTCAGTCTTGACCACCATCAGTAACAGGCCGATATTGTACGAGCTCATACGTTTTTATTTTTTTCAGTATAAGAAGTTCCGGCAAGAATAAAAATTATTTCCACTGAGATATTGAGAGCTTACATATTCATGCTTAAATAATTACAATGTTTTGGGCTTGGCCGATTACAAATTTAGGACGACAAATTATTTGTTCAAACCTCACGTCATTTGTAACTCCTGGTAATAAAAAAATGTCATTTATAGCTTCGAAACTTCTGAAACTCTTCCTTGTAAATTATTTTTGAAATTCAGGAGATTAAAAACAATATGAATTCAATGCACACCTTTAATCTCAATCACTGTTTTTTAATATTTATTTATATGGGATTTTCCCCCATAACAAATGGGGCTCAATAACTCAAATCAAATTCACAAACTGAGAATCCTATTCTTACTAAGCATCTCCATATTGCCATTTCAAATTGTGCATAGTTTCAATAAAAAAATATAAAATCCCCAGTCAGAAAGTAGGTGCCAAGACAAAAGTTCAAATCAGTTGGACGCAAAGAATTCCAGCAGGAGCAAAGTGTAGTAGCCCTTGGTATTTTCATCTCAACAATGTCCCAAATTGTACAAAAAAGATCAACATCAACAACCATAAAATGAGCTGACATGATTTCTCCCAAAAATTTGTCATGTAATCAGAAACGTTGAAAACCCAGAAGAGAAGGGGCCATCTATCTCCAAGGAAGCAAACTCACTCCATTAGCTTCCTCTCCAAATTAACTGCAATGCCAATATGCCATTTTCTCTTGCACCCTATACATATATATCTGAGGCTTTGACAGGCCGCATTCAATTTCAAGCCTCAACAATGGCTGTAATTTACAACTTATCAATAATGTTGCTATATGAGAAACCAAGATGACAACGGGACAAGAGGGCCGAAAGGAGCAACAATTGGTAGAACCGATGAAAGAATTGAGTCAAGAATAGGTGTGGCTCAAGGTGTGGAATAATTGGAAAAAATTAGCAACAAGCTGTCCAGTGTTTCAGGAGTGAACTTTCTAGCAAATAGGTAACATGGCTTCTGAATCCCATTCCATAAGCAAGGCCAACTCTGTACTTCTTTCTGAAGAAGCAGGTAGAAAAAACATATCATTAAATTGCCAGTTTGAATGAACAAGACCAGATGAGGGCTTTACGTTAAGATTACCTTGGCGTCACTGGTAACATGCACACTCACATCAATGGACTGCAAAGAAAATAAATGATTGTCATGAATACGGCAGAACATATCAATAATTAATTCAGGGAAACTGTACAGGATAACATACTGAGATTGGAAATGAAGGAGCCAAAATATACACAACACTTGGCAAAACATATCAATAATTAATTCATAAAAAGGGTTATGGCACAACTGTACCGTAATATTCTTCAAAAGCTCGTACGTAACATCGTGTGCCCTGTATGATTTTGGATGCCATTTTCTCTCAGACCAGTCCACATGAGTTATTGACCAGTTTGCAATTCCGCCAGGATCAACGATCTGAAATAGATGCAAGCTAGGTGAGAGGTTGAGAACGGTCAAGCACAAAGAATTGTTCAGTATATTAGGTGAAATTCTCACATTGAAGAAGGTTGGCATGTAATGTTCATCAGCAATACAATTCTTCCCTTCCAGACCAGGCTGCCATTATCAAGAACTTTACACCATTAGTTAAACTAATGTTAACCATGAACATGGAACACAATGGAGAGAGAATTTTCATGTGAGCTAATATACTTAGTCATTAAAAAAATAATGAAGATCGCTTCAACTCAAGAGCTTAAAGCTATCAAGAGAAGACCCATACATAATTTTGTTATTATCTCTAATACAGGTCCACAAGAACCCGTAGTGCTTGATCTAAAGCACATCTTATCATATTGCTCATGAAACTTAAGTTAACCACGAGAATAGAGGTAAACAAAGATCAAATTCCTACTTATATGGCTTTAAAGACATTGGTATCATGTCAAGGACCACTTCAATACATAAGCTTAATTTATAAAGGCTAATGAACAATTTTTATTGAAATATCGAACAAAAGCAAACACTTCATGCAATGACACTAGGATTTCAAAATAAATTAAAGAATAAATACTAAAAGTAAAAAATATCAATGACAACTTCACCTTGCAGTAATCACGGAATTTTGAGTAATACAGATTGTCAGCCATAACTATAATAGCATGCTGTCTCTTCATTGAGAACCACTGCAGAAAATTTTAAATAACGAGAAGTAGGCATGTTAGAAGGCGTGACATATTTCAACGAGCTATATATTAAATGGTGAATTTACCTTCATCGCTAAGGTTTAGAGTGTTGGACTATAAAAGAACAAATGCAATGAGTAAATGGGTTAGGTGATACATAATCGTCAGTAGCCCAGTAGGATGTCATTTAGGTTATATAAGAAGTAAAAACAGAACATGGTCCAGGCAACACCAATGGAGTTCATTTTGGTTATCAAGAATGTATTTCCAGACCTTATATGACCTAATCATGCAACATGTAAACTCTGTTCTCATTAGTTATATGACAATCGTCTCATGATTGGTCTGTGTTATGAAGATGTAAAACACTCAATTTACGTTCAAATGTCACATTAGCTTCATATTTTTATGATTCATACACTTTCATTCCTTTGGTTTCATATAAGATTCAAATTCGTCCCCCTAGTTTAGAAACAGACAATTTTTTCCTCAGTTTTTAAAAATGTTCTATTTTGCCTGTTTTATAATTGATCTAAAACTTAATACTAAATTAAACCATATGTTGACTTGAACATCAAAATCTGTTAATAATATCAAGTACATAAATATTGCCTTAGAAAATTGTCAATTTTGATATTAAATTTTGCATGGATTACCAGAGGACAAAATTGAATCATTTCCAAAAAAAAAAAAGGAGAAGAAGAAGAAGAAGAAATATTGTCTATTTTTAAAGATCAAATTTAAACATTTATGAAGCTAGAGGAATCAAGAGTACATTCAAACCAACTTCTATTAAAAGCAGATGAAGTTTCTACAGAGTTGACACATCGTACTCGAAGTATTCAAGATCAAGATGTACCTGTGCACCCTTTCTGAAATTCTTCACCTCAACTTCAGGTAACATATGTTCCGAATACCTACCATTGCCATGGGGCCCAGGATCCTTAAAACTGAAAAGACAAAGGAAACAATGGTGCAAGAGGATGTGAGATCAGACCAGAAAACTACCAACACACACAAAAACAATGAGGAATTCACCATAAAAATTGACATACCAGTCAACAAAGCTAATATTTGTTAACATCAGATGGTTGTATATATAGTCAAAACTATACAGTGGCACACAACTGCAAAACCAATGTAGAAGATTCAAAAAATTAAACCACTTAATTAATCAGTAATGAGAGCAATTCAAGTTAACAATCTCATAGCCATTCACCTATCAGAGAGTAAAACAAATTGCTGATTATCAGGATCTTGTAAAGCATTTGCCAATAGCCGTCTCTCTGCATCAACCATTGAAATCTTACCCCAGATCACCTGTAACATTACAAGTGATCACTTTGGCTGCTCATTAGATAACCACAGATCATAAACCAACTGAAAATAATTTGGATCACTATTATCTTGACAACCAGAATGGAAAGAGCTGAACATAACAGCATAATTAGGAGTGGGAGATCACCTAATAGCAACATAATATAACAAGGGTCCAGACAAACCAATGAAAGCAAATGTTCAACCCCAGGCAAATTTGTTAGGCCAGAACAGAGATTAAAACAGTATAATATTTTCAGAGATTATAAACATATCATTAAGAAAAGATATTCCCCCTAAAGTCACAGAAGCACTGATTACAATCATTTGTGAAACAATATGTGCAATAATCAGAAATTGCATTCACAGTAAAATTTCAATAAACAATTTCCAACAAAAATGTCAATTTCACAGGGACTTGGGTACTCTAAAAGTGTAATTTTGAGAGTATTTCTATATATAGAAGAAACATCAATTTAAGGATTATTATTTCATGACTTTATCATTAATAAAACCCACACTGCAAACAGTATTTTATTTATAAACAGTTTGTTAAGTTTCATTACTGATCAATTAACTGGTGTAATTTTTTTTATTCTTCTACATAGGTTTTGCAGTTGTGTGCCACTGTATAGTTTTGACTATATATACAACTATCTGATGTATGCAAATATTAGCTTTGTCGAATGGTATGTCTAGCTTATTTGCGTTGAATTCCTCAGGGTTTTTTTGTGTTCATCCCGTACCTTTAGAGAATCCAAAATAATAATCAGAGTCATACTGTACATTCAGCTTAAATTTTGAAAAGCCCAAAGTGGTCAATAAAATAACAATGATGTAGCAGTTGCATTGGTTACGTAAGATAACCCAAATTTTCAGAGTAGGATTTGATCTATATCCACAAAGGAAAAATTGAAAGCATGCTTCTTTAACGGACATCATGACAACAGTAAAGAAGTTCATAGTTCCTTTCCAAAACAGAGATTAAACGCAATAAATGCAAGGGGAAATATCACATAGAATTAAACTATGATTTATGTTAAAGAACACACTTTCACATAGACAAGGAACCACTATTGACTGATGAATGTAAACAAACAAACAATAATAAGACAGTTTAAGAACCTGTTCACTGCGTATATCCCGATTAACAAAATAACGGCTCACATGAACTGGTCTAGTCTTAGATGCATGCACATAAACTGAGAATTTCCCTTCATGACCCTGTCAAGAAGAGAAAAGCATTCTTTGACATCAATAAACACAAACAAAAGATGAATAGGCTTTATAAACAACAATGATGAAATGAAAATTATGAAAACAAACTAAAGGAAAGCAACTAGGACAACATCTGACATCATTATCCCCCAGTTTCCCCTTTTACAATTTTTCTATTACTTGAACCGTTAATACAAATTTACTCAAAAAGGAGGCGTGCTTTGGACAAAGATGCAACAAGCCAAGATCTACCACCATTAATCACTCAACATGATACACTAATAAATTTCAGTTAAGTTATGCTTTTATTTCCTTCATCCTTTAGGCCTCTATCAAAGGAGAGACCACCAAGAAAGTTCATGCAAAAGACTCGCTCAGTATCAGCTAAGGGTGCAATAAAGCATAATATACTCCCCCACCTAATCATTCCCACCTAATTTTTAAGATCCACAATGAATGAAAATAATTGCCCGAGTCCGCTTACAACTTGATGCTTGTCTAACCACATATTCTAATAAAAAAAATTCTCAAATACAAAGACTGAATTTCCATAGTAGTAACTCTTCATGTGTCAGTTCATCATGCAATGATGTTTTCAGTGGTCGTAAGTCGAAACAACCCACTTAAATAGGAAAGATGTCATCCACACCTCACACCTAAATGGCTATCTTGTTTGGGACTACATGTTTTAGAGGTGTCACGTAGAACTCAGAAAATTTCAGGAAAATTAATAAGTCAATAGAATACACAATGATTTAAGAAAGTAAGAAACAGGTGGTCGCACAATTTACACTCAATCTAGATTGAGGGCATGTACTTTGTATCAAGTCTAAGGTGAACCACATTATTCATAGTTTCGTAGAGATTTTATATTATATATAGACATATAGATTAGTCAGCCATTAATCTTCATAATTACGCAGGTCACCATGCCTAGCGTCAACTTCCTTCTTATTGACAAACTATTTGTTCTTAAATTGACTTGGATAATATATTTAGCAGCAAACATAAATTGATATAAAGTATTAAAAAATTGATAGATAAAAGAGACAAGAAATCCTTACTTGAAAAAACTTATCCCACAATTTCTCAAATGGAAGGGAACCAGGTGTCAGAAACATGAAGGCAACTTTTGGATTTTTAGGAACATATGGTGCACTCAAAATATCCCTAATAACCACTTGTGATGCAATCTCTGCATCTGTGTATTCCCTTGCAGGAACAGGTGGAAGCCACTGAGAAACAACATCGCATGCTCTAGAAGAAAAGACATAACAGGCTGAACTGCTTTTGGGTGGGTAGATGTAAGCACAAATCAAAAACATGCACACAAATAAGACCAGGATAATTATCCAGATTGGTTTCTTCATGGGAGGGCGGTGGCGCGACATATGCAGGATCTGCAAATCTCCAATGCCTAGATGCCAAACTTGTGCGGTCTTCATCCAAGTAAAGGCATCACAGTATCACCTCCAAAAGATCTCCCTAATATCGGCATTCAGCATCCTCAAGCACAAAGAAACCAATATATAAAGCCTAAAATGAACCTTTGACAGATTGATGTAGATAAACCTGAAATGAAAACACATCAAGTAAATATACTAGCACTCAACAAACAGGTAACCATTCAATCCTACATTCTAACATCCCCATCCAGATGGTATGCATACTATATGTAACAGAGCAGCATTTTAATTTTTGACAGTAAAAGATTCAGATGTTCACAGAAACAACGTCCTAGAACCATATTCAGGCCCAAATAATCCACAATAAAAATATCCGATTCAGTTTCTATTTGTTTCTTCCAACTAATAGATAAATATATCAAAATATTTATCAAACCATTGTAACTGAACCAGTGTGCAAAGGAAACAAATTGCTGCATAGTTAAATCTATATGCAATATTCCAAATAAAACTTAAAAGCATGGAAAAGAGATGCTATATGAAAATGGAGACGAAGTTTAATCCCCACACGCTAATCTTAAGTCTCAACCCTTAAAATACTAGTTTAGAGATCAGAGGCACCGGCGAAACAAGAATAGAAAAGAAAAACTCACCCTCAAGCTGTTTGTGTCAAGACTCAAGACATGTTTTTTTTTTTTTGGGGGGGGGGGTTTTCCATATACAGTTGCAAACAGTGCACTACACAGGCATTACTTAATGACTTCCAGGGTATTCGAAACCTTTCTAGTTTACCAAAAGGAATCAGGAAGGAATGTTCCGGAGAAAATAAGTTAGAATATAATAAAGAAACAACAAATAAAGTAATTAAAGATCCAAATTAGCAAGCAATCATCATAATAATATGACGGATCGATTCAACGTTCTGAAGTAGCCCAAAAGCGAAAAAGAAGCATAATAACACATCAAAACTCGGATGCTTGGGTTTAATAAGTCGTACCCATCCGAGCACTCATAGTTTCAATAAATCCGCACCAAATATCAGCGAAAATTCAAATCCAAAATGCACATTCCAACGCGGTTACCATTCAAAATCCCATTTAGATATCCAATCCACAACATGCCCTGTTCAGTTACCAAGAAAGCTCGCGAAACACCCAAAAAAAGAAAACACAAAAATAATGCAAAATCATTCCTTTCGCTCCTTTACGCCACTTATCTTTCCTTATACTTCACCACCAACTAAAACTAAAACTTCCAAACCAGGAATCCCCTCGCTGCCTCTCCCTCTCCCTCTCCCGCAGTAATTCAAATACTCTAAAAGCAGAGTGAGTAATACCTGAAAGTTTCAGCTGCACAGAGGATCGAAGAAGATCGAATATTCACGAGAATCCAACTTCAATTCAAAGATCTTGTCGAACCCACCACCAATATTTGAGGAAGATCTAGGGCAAAGGGAGAAGAAAAGCATGCACACGCAGAGAGTGAAAGAGAGAGAGAGATAACCATATTATAGGCGTGATGAGATGTGAGAGACTGGGTGTGTTTGTTTGATTCAGTGATTCGTTTACTTGGTCTTTCACTCACTCTCTCTCTCTGCTTCGATTTCTCTCTCTAAAACGAAACTCACACAGACACAGGCGATACACCTTGCCAAAAAACATCGCTGCCGGCTATTGGTCAAATTTAACTTTTAATTTCATGAAAGTTTCGTAGATTCGCAAATTAAATATATGTCGCCAAATATGCATATATATACTATATATAATCGATATTTGAAGATTTATAATGCAATTGGACGCCCAAGATCAGTCTTGGAGCCTGTCGTGTTGTTGAAAATAGAAGTCATCGAAATTAGAAAGTTATGACCATTATCCTCACATGTCTCTTCCTATGCACTTTTTCTCGGGAAGCTAACAGCCTAATACACACATATGTATATGTGTATATATAGTGTGTATATATATTTTTTCCTTATGTATTCTTCTTATAATCATATTTGAGATATTACCTGTCAGCATTTTTTTAAGGATTAATCCTTTTTACTTTATATATGTGTGTGTAGCTAAGGAGAAGCTAATATTTTCAGTTTAGTTTCAATTTGCCCTCCTTTTTTCTTATAATGTCAACATTAAATGTTTAAATTTTAAAGAGTTAAGGTATATTTTTACTCTTAAATATTTTTTATAAAAGTAATTTTACTCTTGTACTAATAAGTGGGATAATTATATCCCTGAATTATTTTTTTCAGGAGCACTAGGCACCTTGTAGAATTTTTTTTTTTGCTCCTCAAAAAAATAATTTAAAAATAAAACTATCCCACTTATTAATACTAGGGTAAAATTGCTTCTTGAGTTTAAAATTAAAAATACAAAATTAAGCAAAATTTAGAAAAAACATAACTTTAAATTTCTGTATTTTGCTTGTATTTTTATTATTGGTCTTTATATTTTTGTTTTTCATTATTTTAGCTCCAAAACGATGAAAAATAAAAGTATAGCGATCAAAAATATCAAAAAAATATAAGAATCAATAACAAAACGTGAACAAAGTATGAGGATCTAAAGTTATGTTTTTTTCAAAATTTATATATGAATTTTGTTTCACTTGATAATATTTTTATTTTCAAATTAACTTACACAACAAATGTATTAAGGTACAAATACAACAGTGTGGGAAAAAAAGATACAAAGGATATTATTCAGATGAATTACTTTGATATTATTTATGACTTTTCTTTTCCATTTCACAATGATAAAATACATATGATACATCTAAATAAAGAGATGAAAAATGTGAGTATCACATTGTACGAATTGAGCAGGATTTTTTTAATAAACATGGCTTAAGAATTAAGAAGGATTTTTTTACCCCTTGTTTTGAAAAATACATTTCAATAATATATTAAATTCGGATTGATTTAGTTGGTTATTATTGGTTAATTTTACCTTCTTTAGTCAAATCTTACCTTAAACTAAACCTTTTAACAGAAAAAAATTATATTCAGGTGAAGTACCATTGGACTGATCAATGTTTATGTGGAATATAGCAAAGAAGAGTGTCATTTTCAATGCAATAACCTTTTTTTTTTTTTACCAGATTCATGCAATAACTTATCCAAGGAAATTATGGAGTTAGAGCACTTAGATCTTTTATGCTATATGTGTGCTCTTGTGATGAATGAGTCACAAGTAAGCCTTACAAATGATAATGAGTAATTAATGATAACATGTTCTTACAAATAAATTTACCAAACTTGTCAGTTAAGTACGGTGGAACAATTAAAGTAAACTCATAGGGGTAAGACTTTATTCCTATTAAACAAGTTAACTTGAAATATTATTTAAAATTAAGGCAAGCGAGTGTAAATTTCTGAATGCAATATTTATTTTTGATACCTATGTATGAAACATTATAAAGGGTATTTTCAAAGGTATAATCATTTCCATTATGTAATATATTAAAGATTAATGTAACACTTCTCTTACAAATTGATAAGTGGAGAGAAAATTAAAGTACTAAAAACCAAACTGCTCACTAAACCAATTAAAACATTTGTTTAAAGATTGATAACAAAAATCATAGTCGAAGCGTATCAAATTGATTGTTTTATTAAACCAGTTAAGACATTAGTTTTAATGGTTCAACAAGAGGGGTTGACCAGATTTTTATATTAAAAGAAAAATAGTCTTCTAAACTCTTTCTTTCAACAAGGCTAGGATTCCAAAATATTAACCAAACTCAGATTCTGGTGAAATTCAAAGCAAAGTAGTGCCATATATATATATATATATATATATATCATGGTATCAAGAAAGGTAAACCAAGAGTACTAGTACATTTTTCCGGTTAAACTTGGCTGTCATTTAGAAGTTCAAGTCAAAGAGCACTCATATTTATACAAACCATGACCAATGATCCACCAACCTAGATGCCCAAGAAAGAAAAATATTTCCTTAGTAGAAATGCAATACACAACTGGAATCTATTCATGTATTTAATACTCGCATGAAACTCAGTTTATCCACTGTTTTCATATGCATATTACAGTCAAGAGGATGAGCTACAAAAGGGGCCATAGCTTCTTTTCAAGGCCGAAAAAACTGGATCAGAGATTTGGAATAGGAACTCACAATTTCCAAAAATCAAAACTAGGAATGCTTGGACTGATTACCCAGAGGCCAGAAGGGCTTAAGCGATCTCATGGCTTTAATATCAAGAGGTCTTTTTAATTTGCGGTGGATGTTCTTTGAATGAGAAACGCGCCCAAGCTTCCTTACTTTTTTCCTATATACATAAAATGTTAAAGTTGGCATGATTAAAATAAAATAAAACTTTAAAGTTGGATTTCAAGAGTGAAACATTAATACAAAACTGTGTGCGCGCGCGTGTTTACAATACGCGTGTGGGGTAATTAATAGGAAAACTTCACATCCGATTGATACTTACCTAAAAATAGCTGAATAAAATCTACACAGGCATACAACAGGCAAGCACAGTAAAGCAGAGGCCTGAATGAAAAATAGAACAAAATATGATACAGGCTTATGAAGAGGACAGCAAATTACATTTGATGAATTAAGTTATGCTAAAGCTCTTATAACAAGATCCGTAGATCATGTGGCTCATGCATTGTACAGAGCCACATATAAAAAGTTGCACTAATCACAACTTGTGAACAGTGCTACCTCCTAGAGATTTAAGAACTGATTGAATTTCGATTGAGTATAATTAATTATAAAAATAATTGATTAATATGATTGATTTTAATCATAGTTGATTGTGTTATAACACAGTTTGTTTAGATATTTTTTTTAAATTAATTTTAACAGAATTGAAGATGTTTGGATAATTTAGTTAAAATAAATTTTAATTATATAAATTATTTTAAAGGACATTGCTTTTTAAAATTAAATTATTAATATATTTGTATATAATATTATTAAATTTGTTAAATTTTATTTAAGAAGTAAAATATATTATTTAAATTACATAACAGATTAATTATAAAAATTTAAACTATATTAATATTAACAATTTAATTTACATAAATAAATAACTCTATATTTTAGTTCAAATAAATTTCATAAAAGAAAGATTTAATTCTTAAATACCAAAAATTAATTTTACAATAACTAATGAAGATGACAATATACAAATTAATTTCTAATGACATCATAGATATTAGCCATATCTAATAAAGATATTAAACACTACTTTAAAATTTTGACAATGTAACAAATAACGCAAAATCTTTCTCTCAACTTTTGTAATAATCTTTGCAATGACCCTAAATTTTAAATTAAATTAAATTAATTTTTCTCTATCAATTAATATTTCATTTGGAGTAGTTTTATAGTAAGTGCTAAGTAGAAGATGGTAGTTAATAAAAACTTATGCTAGTAACTTTTTTGAAGATCCAAAGTTTGAATTTAATTAAAAAAAAAAGAAAAGAGAAGAAAGTTTAGTTTTATTTTTATTAAATTTTGTGTCTTTTTTATAATTTTTTTCTTGAACCTTTGTAATTTTCTCCAATGCTTTTGCTTTTTCACATAAGCTCACATTCCTAGCTTTTGAAAAAAATGGATTTTAACCAAAAAATCAATTACCCACTATTTCATGTGTCTGGTTTTTGAGTAAAAAAATCAATTATATACGTATCCAAACACGCAGTTATTCGGGGATAAAAATTACTTACAGCAAGCCAAGCAAGCTCTATAGAAGCAACTGATCTTGTTATTTGCTAGTTTTCAGCCATTGTTGTACCTAATCAAGATATCAAGTTGTTTAGATATATAGATATAAATTACTTACGGCAAACCTATGGAAGCAAGTGGTCTCGTTAATTCGTTGGTTTTCAGCCATTGTTGGACCTAATCAAAATATAAAGTTGATAAAAAATAAAGGAACATCAAGTTTAAAAAAACAAGTAGCTTCAAGTACTCTGCTGGTTATCGAAGTAAAAAAACAATTTGATCTAATGAGCAAGCTGACCGGTAACTACTACATGTCATGTTGTCAAATGGATGAAGAGATTAACTTTTAACTAACTGGTCAACTACGCTGCTTGATCTTATACCATAGAACCCCTAAAAGGTCCAAAGAATAGGTGGGTTTCAAAAGTGCTAGTGGGAAACACTAATCGACATTCTTTAAGTAAATATTGACCCCCAATTGAAATGATGGATTATATTCAATGGTTCATCCTTTTAACGCAGATACTTCTAGCTTCACCAATATTTTAGTCCGATAAAAATGCTTCCTTCACATCTGATTGAAAGAAAGCTCCCAATCAATCCATAAGTCACATTCATTTCGTGACGTATAAAAAGAAGAAAATAGAAGAGAGCACCTGGTTATGGTATGAAATTATAGATGTGACCAACATCCTGCATGCCCGCGCTGGTTTTCCTGAATGGGGCTGCAAGATAACCACGTCCATATCAGTGTACGGCTTCCTCACTGTTTCAAACTGATTGATGTAGGGCTTAGCAAACTTGTATACTTCCTGTAACATATGAAACGATAATATTGATAAAATTGTCACTAGATAATTATAAACAAAAAGGTTCAACGTAAGTTTATCAGCACCTGTATGAAGGGAGCAGTAGCTGTTTGTATCTTGACTGTATATGATAGTAAAGAGTTCTTGGTCAAACGACAGGCCTCCATGATTTTAGCAGTTAAGGATTCCAAACATGAAGAGAGAGAAGATATGAAAGTCAACCATTGATCCTTCATAACTGGTAACTCCTTCAAATAAAACAAAGCAATTGAGGGAGCAGCGTAAGTTTCAAACAGCAGCTGGTATCCACTCCTTCAGATACTTATAAACAACGTAGGTTTATAAGTACCTGTATGAAAGGAGAAAATGTTGTCTGTATATTGGCCGTATTTGATAGCAAAGAGTTCTTGGTCACATGATAGGCCTCAATAATTTTTGCAGTTAAAGGTTTGAAATGAGAACCGAGAGAAGAAATGAATGACAACCATTGATCCTTCATAACTGGTACCCCCTCCTTCAAATAAAACAAAGCGATTGAGGGTAAACATGACTGTAATGGGATTATATAGCAATTAAGAAAATCATTGCTGATTTATGTCATTCCCAGAAAAGACTGTCAATGATATTACGAGTGACTTACTTTCTTCAACATTTCGATACACATCTCCCCAACTTGTCGAACCTGTGACAATTTCAAAAATATCTGGGAGTAAAAGAAGTGAAAAAAAAAAAAGGAATTATTCTTAGATGGTGAAAGACTTCAGTACCCTTGACCATATTTATGACATCATATAATGAAAATTGTTAATAAAAAAGAAACCTTTGGAAACAATGCGTCCAAGGCAGGCCTCCAAGAATAATTCCAGTGGTCCGCTATTAAGGACTGCAGGACACAACCAGTCATGGAAAGAACATAAAATTCTACAGGGCTATGCAACAAAGCTGCAAAACTGCCTGAAAATGACTAAAGTTGACTAGCAGCCAATGAGAGAACTATATTTGATAGATAATCCAGATTCCAGTAAACAAAATAAGTCCAAACCAAGAGCTAATTTTGAAGGTCCATGTTACTAGGTGGACAGTGGTTGAGAGTACTCAATCGAATATCAGAGTAAATGATACAATGAAATGTTCTGACATTCATATCATCTTTATTTCTCATTGAAGGCTTGCCTTGACTGGTGTTATGTCATTTTTCATTAATAACGACTTGGAACCGGAGGCCTATTATATGATGCTCAAGTTCTCTGACAAGAAGAAACGATCAAAGTAAACCTAGAGTGGTAAGCTATAAAATGAATAAGATATTTTATCAACACTTCCATAAAACCCTAGTCAATTGATAAGAACTTAGGAACCTGTTCTATCAAAAAAAATACCTTGACAACTTCATAACTCAACTACACTTTATCACAAAAAGGAAACATGCTGGAAAAATACGCATTAGCGTTCCTAAATAGTTAAATTGTTAACCGTAAACTGAAGCCACTCTCCAAACACATGATATCATGCTGTCAACAACTTCATAGTATAAAAGTCTAACAGTTGCCGCAGACTACACTAGATTTGGTATAGTTTCAGGCTACACCTATCAGCAACTACAACACTAAAAGAGCTCATAATTTCCTGACCTTCAGGGACTTCATAAAAGTGGCTTCCGATTCTTCCTTCATCATTTCTTCCTACAAGCTCCACAAAAACAGGTACTCATTAAGTAGAAGGTACATGAAGTTAGTCAAAGATACAGGGTTGAACAAACCTCTGTCACTTGAAGAGCTTCTTCAGTCATTTGAATTCGTACATTATTAACTTTCTGAAGCTGGATTAGGGAAATCAAGCATAGCATATTAGAGGAACTCCATTCACATGCATAAATAACATAAGGAATCATAATATTATGCTAAGTAGAAATATTAAAAAAAAAAAGTTCTGTAAACCATAGACTGAAGATACATGAAAAATCAAAGGGCCTAGAGTCACGAAAATGTAATGTTTCTAGGGAAGATGGACAATGGTGCGAAAAGGTCAGCAAAGTGTCATCTTAAGCTTGCTTATTTCTAGGGCATCATATAAAGTAAAAGATGATGTTGAACTAAAAAACATTTATTCTGTTTCTGTAGATTAAATTTGTCAGCTTCTTGATGAATGCAAGAAAATCCCTCCTTTCTTGGTTCTTGTGTTTCTATTTCTTCTTTTAACCTGTCAACCTAAAGGAAAATTACATATGGATCATGCAAGCCAAGGATACGTATTTATAAAGGAATGAACGCATAACTAACCAGCTTCTCCGCCTCAGCTACGTGGGAATTTGATCCTTCCAGCTCCTGGTAAGCATCTAAAGACCCTTTTTGCTGATAGAAAACAAAGATGGTTATAAACATGTATTGTCTATTTCCTCTATGAAAGATAATGTAGTCAAATTTATCTCCCCTTCAGCACAAGCAATCCCTTTCTCAATGTTCTATGAGGTTGATAAAAATTACTGTTTCTTATAGTTAGCTATGTAGAATTCTTAGCTACTCTATGATTTTGGCTCATAAAGAGGGAAATTTGACTGTCTCAATGGGCTGATTCTTTTCTAGAAATTGATTTATAATAAAATTTAGCAGTCTGTTGTGAGAAAAATACCAAATTTACCTGAAGAGCTACAATCTTATTCCGTAGGGTTGCACTTTGTGATTTCTCTGGAATAATATTCTCCATCTGTTTAATGCCATCGTCTTTATTCAATTTACTATCGCTCTTCTCAAATGTGGACTCTTGCATGATACGAAAGACAAATCAAAATCGCAAACAGAAGCCGGAAATAAATGGTTAAATAAGCAATTGATAAAATGAGGAGACAGCTCATAACGAAGGTGATATAACATGCCCCAGCAAATTGCAAAAAACATTTTAGAGAAATACAAGATTTCTCAAAATCAGCAATTCAAAGTTCTCATTTTTGTCGGACCAGGATTCACAAATCATAAAAATCTAATCCATTTTTACAATGAATTCAAAACAAAAATATTAGGAAATTTAATATCATAATTCATCTAACTTTCTTAATCATATTCAAGCTTCAGCCACCTCCATAAGGAAGGTTCCGAGGAACAATGGACCCAAACGTCAATTTCCTGCAGTACTACAGTCTATATTAAACTAAAAAGTAAAAACAGAGATTATAGAAACCACCTAAAATTGAAACCTTCGTCTTGAGTTGCTCTAATTCAATCCTCAGAGATGAAATTGTATCCTCTGGCTCCAGGGATGATTTCTGTGATGCAATCATAACGAACAGTAAGGCAAAGAATATGGAGAAGATGAAGAGCTTCGCAGTCGTCATTGGAGAAAAGAGACTGAGACTGAGGGGCCTATTTTCTCTTTCCCCTCTACATTCAAATTTAGCGAGGGAGACGACTCTCTCATGGCTTTATATAATAATCTTCTTGCGGAAAAACAAAGGAAAAAGGAAAAAACAAACCAGAAAACAGGAAGGAAAAAAAAAAAGGTAAACGTAAGGTAGAACGAGAAAATTATATTCCTTTTATTTAAAAATATAAAATATTTTTAAAAAAGTTTGATGTTAAAAAATTTAAAATATTTTTACTCTTTTAAAGTGCAATCATTACATTTTTTTTAAAAGTATCCCTATTAATGAATGGCTTTGTATTTATTGAAAGGTGTTTAATAAAGGTAAATATAAAAAAATAAAGTTAGTTTAAAAGTAAATAACTACTTTATTGAAAGGTAAAATTTAGTTAAAATTTTTTTACATTTTTAAATGGAGGGAGTAATAATTATGTTCACTAAAATTATACTAAAATTTTAAAGGTTTATTATAAATTTAAAAATTATTTTTAACATTTTAAGACTTTTTTTTTCAAAATAACATATAATTATATTATAATGTAATAATTTTCCAACACAATATTCTAGTGAAATGAATTTTTAGATATAATTTTATTTCCAATATTCAAATAATTTTTTTACAGATTTTAGAATTTTTCATTTTATATAGTGTGATTTTTCACCAATGCTTTCCTGTAATTTATTTTGCATTTTGATGGAAATAAAAGGAATTAAAAAAAGGAAATCAAATATCATAGTATGCTCCTCCATTCTTTTAACACTAGTGTCTTGTTGGAAAAAAACATGAATTTGGATTTGGTAACTGTATTTAATATAGGCATTGAATACTTGTATCATTTGAATTATTAAAATTCATATCAATAGTTATGAATTTATATTCTATTTAAGATTAATAAATGAGTGAATTTATTTAAATTATTGATTTAAATTTTAATGATTAAGATAATGCAAGCACTCAATACTTGTATTAAATATAGTTACCAAATTCAAATCCAAAAAATATTCTAAAGAAATAATCGCCATACATATAAATGCATGCACCAAATTTAGAAATGGCATTATTTTATTATTAGTAAATCAATCAACATCGATGGCTATAATTTCCAATTTTCATCTTACGGAAGCATATATTTAAAGAGAGACCTATTTCATTTTCTCGGACATTATAGAAATTGATCTAAAAAATATTTTTTATGACATAAAAAATAAAGGCACGTATTTTTACAGAATAAAATCATTTTGGAGGAAACGTCGTGTGAAACAAAAATGATTGAGTGATGGTGCGTTCATGTAAGTAAGTTCCATTAATGTTTAGTATTATGAAATGAGAATAGATATTATTATTATTATTATTATTATTATTATTATTATTATATAAGTTTTTTATTTTCAAAACTTAAATTTGAAATTTTATTTAAAAAAAACTGGATCATTTTTACTTCACTTAATGTTGTTGGTAATGCAAATTTTTCTTATTTAATATTTTCTTTTTGAAGAAAGACTAATGTGTTTGTATAGACTTTTTTATTAAAAAAGAATGAATTTCTTTAAAATAAAGCGATTACGTAAAAAGGCCCAAATCAGCTTAGATTGATTTGGGTTTAGAGTACTGTAGGCTATAATACAAGAAAAATAAGAGACAACGATAAGAACAAAAACAAACAAGCAAACAATTGAACAACTCTCAAATAGGCGGTCATTAAAATTTCCGAATGGATCAATGCAAGTGCTTTATTCAACTTTAATTTGCTTGTTTTGTTGATCGCCTTAGCTTTCATCAGAAAACTTTGCTCTTTTTTTTTTAACATGAATATATTTTTTTAACCAAGCATTTTTTTTTTAAGCGTGAATATGAACGAGTATTTTTCCAGCTCTTCTAAAGTGCTATTAACACTGAACAAACACAGGAACACGTTATAAGTTATGCATGTAGACTGAGAGCCTAATCAAAATATCATTTTCTTCCCTAAGAGTCATGTATCTCATTTTGCCAATTAAAAGTTTCCTCAATATTAAAAAGTGAATATTTTTATTTGACACTAACCTATAAATTACATTAAAAGGCAAAAAGAAAAAAGTTAATAGAAGAAGTGAGATTATCCCACCCAGATTATTGCCATTTGCCACTTGTCCACCAATCAATATCACACAACAAGAAGCTTAATTTTGTCTGTAGTTCTTTGTAGGGGACACCTCAGAGGGTGGACCTTTTATTGAGTTATGCATTGCTGGTAGAAATACGTGGAAATAATCATTTTAATTGGCTACATTTCCTCAAGAATTCAGAGGAAAACGTATAACATATTACATACCAATATCATTTCGGACAAGATAAATATGCTAATATTATCACATATTAACTGGTGTGAATTTCAAATCTGGCATGAAATTGTTGTCATATTATCTATGGATTCGGATCATGTACAATAGCTTATTGTGCAGTGGTTGAAACGTGGGTAATTATCATCATGCATTTTATCTAATGGTTAAAAAAATAGGTGCATAAAAAGACTTCTTGTTTGCAAAGCACAATCTTATTTTATGTTTTTAATGAAACTGTTTTATTACTAATATGGACAGTTTCTATTTAATTTGTATTGCCCAATTTTAATATTAGAATTTTAATAATTTTTATAAATTAACTATCCAAATTTATTATCAATGGTTCAGATTTTAAATTTTAACTTATAATTTTTTTTAAAAATATTTTTTAGAAAGAGCTAGGATAATATTTTTATTTTTCATATTGTATTTATCAAATAAAAAATTACAAAAATTATTTAAAAATTTTTAATATTATATCTGACCTTCAAGAATATATCTAGATAATTAATTCATACAAATTTTAAAAAATAATACTCAATTTAACTGTACAAATTAGTCTTTACTGTTCAAATTGGTGACTAACATATTTATTAAAAAAAATTTAATCTTTATAATTTTTTATTTGAATACATATAAAATAAAAAAATTAAATTTTGATGAACATGATTGTGTATTTTGCAAATGAGAAGTCTTTTTTGTACACCTTTCTCTTCTCAACTATTGGATAAAATGTACGATTATGATTACCCACTTTTAAACTACTCACAAAAAGCCACTGCACATTATCCGAATCCTGTTATTTATATGTATGTCAAAAGAAATCTCACATTTTTCAAGATTAAAAAGCCTTAGTGTATAAATGCTAAGATGAGAATTTAAGTAAGTGAGATGAACCAAAAAGAGGAATGAATGTGCTCATATATTATATGTGAGTGAGATATGATGCTGGGCTCTTTTATCAAAATATTTTGTCTTCAAAAATATTTTAAAGGACCAAATTCAACATTCAAACCTTTAGGATTTTACAATGCATAATGATGATTAACTATTCAATGTATTAATCTTTAAAACTTTGCAAGTAATTAGTGATAATTTGTTCAAAACTCTAAACTTTTGAAATTTACAATGTCTATTGATTAGTTTCTTAATATAAATTCAATGTTTAAATGCTTAGAAACTTTAAAGGTTGTAATGGTGCCCAACATTCATGTACATCTATTACTTATATAAGGCATATTTGTGGAGTGTTCAGTATAGATTGCTCTTGAGCTTTCAAGTATCCTTTTTCCATCTCTTGAGTTCCTTTTCCCCGTGTGTATTTTTGTTGTTTTGGCACCTTGTTTTATATAGGAAGGGTTCATTTAATTTTGGAGAGTTACTGCATTTAACCTGTGTAGCAGAATAACTCTTAAGGATAATGTCCCCAAACACAACTCAAATCAAATTATCTAACATAATTCCTAACAATTTGATAAATATGATGCAACATGCATAATTTATCTTTTGAAGATGATGCAATTTAAATATAAATTGATTTTTTCTTTGATAATAATATAAAAAAGATGGTTCATTGTTGTAAATATAAATTGATTTTGCCTTGGATAATAGCATGGAGAAAAGAGACAACAAATTAAAGAAGCACTATATTTCAAAAATAAAGTCATTAAAACAAGAGTAAATGAGCAAGTTGGCCCATAAACTATAGGTCCGGAAGAGTTTGAGATTCTAAACTTATATTTTGTGCAACATTCCTCGTTAACTTTTAAAAACTATGTAATCTAACCCTTGTCATTAATAAAAGTTACTTTGATTATTAGTTAGTAAAAAATACCAGAAAAAGATTTCAAAAATTATAAAAAAACATAAAAAGTGTAGTAAATGACCCAAAGATTATAGAAAAGTTTTCTTGGTCATTTTTGTATTTTTTGGATCATTGTTTGTTATTTTCAACTCCACTAACAATCAAATTACACTATTTTTAAAAGTTGAAAAGAAAATAGAGAAGATGAGTTTAGGGACTCATATGCTTTTAAATCTATAGTTTAAAAGTTAACTTTCTCATTTATCCTTAAAATAATAACATCCTATAACATTTTATTTAATTATAATTGAATTGAATTGATGCAATTTTATCTGACAAAGTATAGATGGTGTAGTACTTCTAGGCCATGCAAGAATTTCTTTTAAATATAATATAATTTTTAAATGTAATATGTCAAATAAAAATATGAATCTCAATTTTTTTTGAAAAAAAATGGCAATTAGAAATAACAATATTTTATATTGCACTCTAATTAATGTCAAGGATCGTGGATCATCCACCATGCAAATTGTCATTAAAGGGCCCCGATACCTATTAATTAAACATAGGTTGGTCCAAAGCCACTCAACAACTAACTAGCCCTTGAGTGGTATAAGATCTCCCTACGTAAAATTGCCATTAATGCAAGATTTGAGTGATTACAATGGTATTCAAATCCACACCTAAATAAATTGCAACTCTTATATGAATCCTTGCAATCAGCGGTGGCGGCAATTTGCATTATTTATGTAAAATCTATTACTAGAAGTTGCATTATTAGCATTCAAATAAATACTTGTTAGAAAAGAAGAAGAAAATACATATTTTGATGGTTTTTTAATAAAAACAGTCTCAATGACTTGCTAGTCTAGTGGCATCAAAGCTCTTTTCAGTAGAAAAGGTCTTAATTTTTTTTTTAGATGACGAAAGATTGTGAATTTGAATTAGTTAAAGTTAGATATATAATAACGTGTATGTTCTGGAGGGGGGGGCTGGGCTTTTCTATGAAAAAAAATGTAGGGTGTGTTAGTGTTAAAAAACAAAAACAAAAATAACAAAACTTAAAACTCAAGCAAGATATGAGATTAAATCTTGCCATTAATATAAGAATATTATTAATAGATGATGTATAAAGACCTTTATAAGTGTTGTGAGCCTGAAGATATGATTTGACTCTAATGAGCTCTTACGACTTAATTTATCTAAATTTTTTTTATAAACAAAAATGTGAGGGCTCAAAATTGTAGACAGCGTAAAATATAAAAACTTAGGGCACTGTTATGTAATATGCTGAATGAGGGCCCACCCAAACAAGGATCCGCCTTCGAGTTAAAAAAGTGTCTGGGCTGGTGTCTCACATGAGAAGAAGAAAGACAAGTGTAGCCAAGGATGACCTGCCGGGAAATCTGATCTGAGCGATGAAAGCACAAGCTTATACATGCGCAGCGAATTGATGCCGGCAAGTCATGCTTGGCTTCATTTCACTCTCCGCCTCTCCATGAAAGACTCTCAGACCCCCAGAAAATCCATGCCTAGCTCATACCTCTATATATCTTCAACCTCATGCTCTATCTTCCTTCGCTTCTTCTTCATGCCATTTTATAGGCAGAAAAAAGTGGCAAATTGGGAATGCTTCTGGTCCCTTCTATATTCTCTTTCTGACTCACCATTCGCAATCCTTTAGAGCCAAGTGACTCCGATTCCTCTGTGATGGCAATACATGTTGCCTACCACCTGTTTGATGAAACGCATTGATGCTTTCAATCTCTCACAATGACAATTTCAAGCAAAGATAGATATGAAATTTCTCATTTAAGAGGTAATAAAAGTGAATTCTTTTATTTATTCTGTGTTTATTTCTCTTGAAAATGGGCAAGAGAGATCTTAGAAGGTCAAAATTCTTTCTCTCTCAGGACAATTTTGGGCTCTCTACAAGTTGTTCTTCAATCAATAGGTTTCAATTCTGGGTTTTCCTTTTGTGGGAATAGAATCTTTTAAAAGATGGGTCAAGGAATGGGGGGATGTCCCTTGAATGGAACAGCCATGATTTCTGAATATGAGTGTGTCAAAGGCTCAGGTCCCCAACTGATAAAACTTGACACCAGGAATTTATTTCTTTTTTTTGCACTTGCAAATGTCAAAGGATCTGGAAATACTCTGATCTGTTGATGATATCTTGATGTTGATTGATATCGTAATTGTATGGGAAATATGAACAAATAAATAATATTCCTATTATGATAACTGATAATTGTTTTGAAAATAATCATGCTGGTGCAAAAAAAGAAAAAAGTAGTAGGTAAAAAAAAAAAAAGTAGTAGGTAAAGTTTCAGGGATGGAATTTAACCATGGAATCGACATCACATTGTCAAGAATGAGGTACTTTATTGGAACATATTCTGCTACAGAACATTAATGAGAGAACTAAATTAATTATTGTTGCAACTTGCAAGCTGTAAATATAAATGTTATGTGGAAATAAAATTCTTAAAGAATGATGTGGCATTTTTTACTGGGCCAAAAGAGTGACAATTATTCTTTTCCTGCGGAGGTATTTAGACTTCATAATCTGCTTTTCTATTATAAAAATATATAGAAATGTTTGTGAGATCAAACTTTGACTATTGTTTAGGAGGTCATAGTCATCTTATGTTTTCTTTCTTTCTTTCTTTCTTTTTCTTGGCCAAAATATTTATCTTATGTAGACTCATAGGACTCATATCACGTAACCCTCATTTCTTAGGGGATCATATTTAACTTTTACCAAAACTTTTACATGTACTAATTATCTCCAAAATGCACCGGCCCCCTCTTTCAGATAAGCCTAAAAGCAATATTGATCTTTTTACTAAAATATAATTTTAAACTCTTATTTTAGTATTGTATACATTCTGTATTGAGCACTATTTAATTTGTTTTAATTTAAAAATTGATTATTATTATTATTATTATTATTATTATTATTATTATATTAGCTAAATACACATTTAATAATTGTTATATTAAACAAATAATAGTTATATGATTTTCTTTTGAAAAATAGGTGCTATTAATGCTCATCTTTTGCTAAGGGTCAGTGTATTATATCTTTCGCTGGCCAAGAAAAGTGTATTATATCTTTGATTTAAGAGGGTAGTATACAATTTTGAAATCAAGAAGGAAATTGTATAATTTGGATTTTAGGCATATCTATTAAGAGAAGAGGGTTGGGTTTACAGAATAAAGCAATAATGTATTTATTGTGTGCATGTTTGTACTTCAAACAACAAAATGGTGTAGTCAAAAGCTATAGCATTAGTTTAAAGGAATTAATCAATTAATGAAGACTTCCAGCGTTTGATTCACCAGTGTAAACCTTATGATGGCCAACTTTGATTACTTTTCTTTCAGCAAATATAATCTTTACATAGTTAAAAATGTAAGACATTTTTAATCGAATTTCATCTCAATAAAGTAGTTACTATCTTCGTAAAATGATTTTTTAGAATCTTGCTATCTTCATAAAATGATATCAATGCAAAATTTCTTTTCTTATCCCCTGGAAAATTATTGTGACGTTTGATAGACTGAAAATATTTTCAAAGGAAAGAAAAATGAGAATGGAAAAATTGTGTTGGAATATGGAAATATCTTTCTGTTTGTGTGTTTGGTAGATTAAAAATAAAGCTACAATTAAGGAGAAAATATGAATAAATTACCATAATGATCATAATATAAAAAAATTAAATTTTCTCCTTTTTATTAGAAATATTTTTAAATTGTCAACAATAGAGAAAAAAATAAAATTATTCATTTTCATAATTTTATTCGATAAAAACTATTCAGTTTGCATCTTATTACATTAGAAGATCTACCTGCCTAGGCAAAAATGATCTTTGGTATTGCACTTCTCAATCTCATGTATCAATTCCCTATTATTGAGCAAATATGGGAATCCAAGTTCATTTATTATTATGGATTTGGATCCCTCAATTGTTCAATCACTCAAATGCGTGTTACTCATAAAGAAACAGGACAATGTGGTTTTTTGTGCTTTCAAGGTTAGCTATCTTGTATTTAAGTAGAGTGATTGAGTTAGCCTCATGCATTTTACATGGAGCCAAAGATGAGTTGCACTCTTACGGTTTATAAACCGTGACACTTTCTACAACTTTTATAGATAAAGAAGATTAATCCCATTGCATGAAATAAGCTGGTTCATCTGTATTTGAAACTATTTTCTTTGTATTATGCACGTGGAATGCAGTGGCTTTCCTTTTCTTTTTGTTATTTTGCCCCAATTGCTTAGCTTTTGTTGCCTTTGTAACTGACAATAGAACGATAGTGAATTCATTGGAAAGCTTTATATTAAGGGAGGCTCATCTTACATGTATTTATAGTAAGAAAAAGGGTTATATATCTTGAGGTAAAACCAATTTTGGGAAATCTGTAATCTAACTGAGCAAAGAAGGAGGACAATGAGCGAGATACATAGATTATAAGAAAAGCATTAACTAGGGGCAATGAACAAGCTATTCCAGAGTCTCATATGAGAGGAAAGGGAGCAAACTAGAGATAAAGGAAACTTCCAGCAACACCCAGAGATGGGTTATTAGTTCTGCCTAGATGCTGGCAAGTCACTCTCGTCTCAAATCTACTCTCTGCCCCTTCATGCAAGGCTCGTTAAGCAAAAAAAAAAAAAAAAAAACATTGAGCTTCAGTTATATGCTCATAAGCTCTCAATTCAGTCACTGCATTGATGCTTGAGGTTGATTGTAGTGTATTCATAGGGAGAGAGTGGAAAAGGCATCTTTCAAACTACACATGGCCCCATGTTTCTATATACTGCTTCTTATCAAGAACCAGGGTTGTTGGGAAACAATTTTCATATTAGCACCATAATTTTAGCCATTATGGGAAATTGACTTTATCCATTTGCCTTCTAGTGGTTTGTTAGTTGACTAATACATCATACATGGCATCTCTTTCAGGCATTGAAACATGCAGTACACTCTGGATTTTACTATTAAGAATGAGATTTTGTGATGGAATAACTTTGGCGTGAGCTAAGAGAGCAAATGATTGAATTCACAAAGCATTGCATGCTTCAGAAATCTATCTGGATGGTTAAAGGTAACCTATGAATTGAAGATGTTGAAAGATCTTATTTGTGGTTTGCTACTCATCACAAAACATCCTTTCTAAGATTTTCACTCAAAAAATGTAGCATTATTAACATTTCTGTCAACCTTCACTGTTGCGTCTCAAATATTGGGAATTGGCATCCAAGGCATAATATGCAGAGCTGTTTTGGCAGTGATAAAGCGATGATTAATATTATGACATTCCTGACTCAGCTGTCACAACTCACAAGTCACAAGACAGGGCAGTTTAACGAATGATGCAAATCACCTGGTATAGAACAACTAGCCCAAGTTGTTTAATAGGCATTTGTTCTTTGTTTTTTTCCGAAGTTTAATAAGAAATTGTTGGCAATCTTTGTAGACATCTAATTTGAGGATTCAGGTTTCCGTGTATCATAAAATCCTGTGGTTTTCATAGTTGTCCATCTATATAATTCGTGGCCTTCAACGAATTTTCTGGAAATTATTGTCTTATGGGTGAAATAGACTTAATTTTAAGGAGTATGGCTTTAATCCCTCTCAGTCGTCTCTAACTTGTGTTCTTAGAGTAGATTCTGGAATTTTCTTAGTTGTCCAAACTCATTAGACACATATTTTCTGCCAATATGCTTCCTTTTTATTTTTCCATAAATGCATCTAATGTAAGGAATAATTAGAAGAGAACCCAACTGTTGAAGTTCAATAACTATGCTACATGCCTTTTTTATCTTTTAATGTTCCTGATCCATTGCTTAAGCCTATGGATGCAAATGGTCGTCATGCATTTCAGAGTACTTGAAAGGTAGCAGAAGTTTTCAACAATGATTATCTCCAGAGAGTAATTAAGAATATTTAAATAGAAGTATTTGATGTGATAGCTTGAGCTTTGAAGTTGAACAGTTCATTAACAATATATTTATGGTGTAAATGTGGCAGTTGTGAATGAAGTAGAGCATAATTTCGAGGAGTTACTGCTTTAATCCTTTGCAATTAGCTTCAAATAGTCTAGAACTGGGCTCTTAATCATCAATATTTTCTTACAATCTTCTATGTTTTCTTTCTAGTACAGTTGACCTTTTGGTTTTACTTCCTCAATACTTCTTGTCGTCCTCCAATACATGTACAAAATGAATTGAAAACATCACTGCAGCAATCACTTATAACAAAGGTTGATTTATCACAGCGAAAATTTGCTAGCCCTGCAAATTATTAAATGATGTTCTCTCTGCAAATGTACTTATATTTTCCCATATAAAAGAGAACATAATTATTATTGCATTTGAACAGCTGTGATATATTCCATTTTTGTCTCCAATATTCTTCCATTACTCAAGCCTAAGCGTTTAAGTGACTAATGGTAATAATGTATTCCAGACAATACAAAGCACTTTTGAAAAAGCTAGCAGATATTTTCAATAATAATTAATCTTTTTTCTAACGAGTGGTTAAAAATATTGAAATAGCAAGTCTTTGTTGTGACATTGAACAGTTGTGTAACAATATAATTTTTGTTTATATGTTGCAGTTATGCGGGCACTATAATCAAGCTCCTTCAGAGTCTCAAATGGGAGGAAAGGGAGCAAACTTGAGCCAAGAATAACTACCGGCAACATCCAGAGATAGAATCACGTTTTACAGAAGATGCCGCCAAGTCATCCTCGACTCAAATCCACTCTCTGCCCTTCATGCAAGGCTGGCGAGCAAAGAAATGAGCTTCTCATAATTGCATTTAAGCATTATTGCGAGGTATTTATATATACGCTTGAAAAGGTTATTCCCTTTGGAATTCTTTCAAAGTAAGCATGGCTCCACACAGTAATGAATTTTTTTGTGATGCTTCCCATCCAAATCCATCCATATCTAGAATCATCTCAATCAGCAGTTGACTTTCTCCATTTCATTTGAAAAAGCTAGTTAATTGACCGCTACATCTCTCTTTCTGATATTGAAACATGCAGTCCACCCTAGGGGCAACGACAAGCTATTTCAGAGTCTGATATAAGAGGAAAGGGAGAAAACTCGTGACAAAGATGGCTTCCAACCAATGGCGGACCTACGTTTAATTGGGAGATGCCCACCTCAGTTTTCTATACTGCATCTTAATATATTGGGGGAATGACATTTAGGTCTTGAAAGATCAATTTATTGACAATTAGGTCCTGAAAAATATTGCTAGAAGATGAGTTGTAAATATTGATTCATGACATTATAATTATGGGAGACTTAGTTGCAAATAGAGCATTCAAATATTAAGGGTCGCTTGCAGTTGCATGAATTCTTGAGGTTTATTGTAGTGTATTTAATAGGCAGTGTGGTGGAAAAAAGCATATTTCAAACTACACAGTTCCATGTTACCAATTGACTTTTGCACTCTGCATCTCCTAGACCCGTCCTTCTTTGGAATAAATTTCCATGTTGGTATGTGTAACTTTAGGCATTATAGAAGCAAATAGAAGTTGACTTCATCCATTTTATCTGTAACGGTTAGTTGATTGACTAACACATGTTCCCTCTTTCAGGCACTGAAACGTGCAGTTCAATCTAGACCTTATTGTTAAGGATGAGATTTTGTGATGGAACAACTTCAGCATGAGTTTTAATAAATTGCAAAACGTTGCATGTCTCAAAGAAAGAGATCTTGGTAAAGCTATGCATTGACGGTGTTGAAAGAGCTGATAACTGTTCAATTGCCTGTGTCGTTATTCCTCATAAGAGAAATCATTCTTCATAAAATTTTCATGCAAAAATAAAAGAGAGAATGACAAATAAGGATCTCATGAGAACATTAATATCAAGTTAGGATTTTTTCACATTGAGATTCTCAATTCATAACTCCTCCCATGATTCAGTATTGAAATCTTTAAAAAAACTTGATCTGGCATGAATTGTTTTTTTTTTTTTTAGTCCTTACTCTTCATTCCCCCACAATAAAATGTGATGTAGTGTTGATATTTCTGTCAATCTTAACTGCTGTCATGTTTCAAAAAATATCAGAAAGTGACATTCAAGGCATAATACATAGACAGTGCTCAATATGATGTTCCAAACCCAACTGTCAAAACTCACTAGTCACAAGGCAAGACAATTTGATAACTAAGACGATAAATTGAATAAGCAATGCTTGTCAATTCCAAATGCAAGGTTTGTTTTCAGCATAATAAAATTTCTAGTTTGCTTTTGTTCTCCATTTATGATTTGAAGACCCTCCACAAACCTTTTACAAGTTATATTATATTGTGGATGAATTATAACTTTATTTTTAGTTAATGCTATGCAATTTATTGACAAAAAGATGTTTGAATATCATTTTAGATAATTTAGACATGTACAGAGAAGATCATGGGAGGCATCAATGAGAAGAATATAATAAATAACCTTGAACCTTATAAAGAAGGATGAAAAAACAAGACCTCTTGATTAACAATATTCTCAAAAACTTGATAAAGCACAATAATATTTTACAATTTATGTAGCCATTCACACATAGCAAGTTAAGCTTCTTGTCACTATTGCTATGCAATCTACATATTAATATATAATATAAAATCTATAAAAAGTTATACTATCATAATTTATGAATGATGCAACTCATTTCAAATTGTGATGTATTTATTTTATTTTTATGTCAATCTTTTTCCATTTATAGAACCTTGATGTTGATGGCAGTCATCTATTTCTAACAAAGTACAAATGAAAATTAACAAAAATAAACTTCTCATAAGCTCTTAGTTTTCAAAATTATTGCAAGTATTTAAATATGCATTTGAAGAGGTTATTCCTTGTGGAATTCTTCAGAAGTAAGCAAGCATGGCTGCTCATAGCAATGAACTCCAACGTGCTGCTTCTTATCCAAAGCAAAAGTTAACTGACTTTTATTTCATTCCAAAAAGCTAGTTGATGGACTAAGTCAGAAGTACCTCTTTTTCTACCATTTAATCAAGGAGCAGCATGTCTTTTATCAGCAGCGGAAAGAAGGCGATAATGCCAAAGAAAAAATTTAAAAAGAAAACTGAAAGCAACCTAGAGTGATAACAAAATAATAAGTCATTTATACGAGACAAATTACAAATTTTAGACTACAAGTAAAAAATAGTCACATTAAATCCTCTGACTAATTCAAATTGAATTATATATACGTTTGATATCATGCATATAAAGCTCTCCTTACGACAAGTTTTTTAGTTTGCAAAACTCAAAAGTTAGATACAAAACCTTATTTCAAAAAAATGTCCAAAACACATAAGTCATCCATTTTTTGACAAAAAAAAAGTAGTTTAGATGAGTTGATCACCAAAACCAAGACATGCCTTTATATTTAAAGAATATTTAAAAAGATACTTACACATTATCCACCAACAAGATCCTCATATCACTAGTGAGATCAGAACCTATGATTTTATAAATTATGAGCCAAATTCTTATTCGTCATATAAACTATCTAATATTGGTATGGAGATGATCGTTAATTAATTAACACAACATGTTAAAACTACAATCAAAAGCTCTCTTTTTTTTTTTCAACTAATCAAAAGCTCTTAAAAAGGATCAAATGAGAGATGAAGAGAGCAAACTTGGCTCAAGGATGACTTGCCCGCAATATAATATCCAGCAATTTACAAAGCAGATACATTTGCCGGCAAGTCATCCTTGGCTCAAATCTACTCTCTACCTCTCCATGCAATCCATTCCAAGCATACACACTTCAATCAATGCTCTTGCAATTGACATCCCTCGACATATAATCCTATTTATAAGCCCTTGAGAACTTACTAGAATATGAATAATTTTTATCCAAAAAACACTTTTATGTTTGGGGCCCATTAATGTTTAATCATTCGGCACACGTGTCACACTTCAAGAATTGAGAACAAGCAAAGAGTTGACTGATGAGCTTTAATTTAATTATATATTTCTCCTGACATAACTGCTGTGGGGAATAGAATATTTGTTTGTGTGACAGTGAAATTGGTTACACCATGTTTTGGAATAGAATATTTGTTCTCACAAATGATAGCACTTACCGATCAGATTTTGACTTTGTTTATTGGGTTCCATACCAATGAGAATATGACCAGACAGGCTTCTTTCTTTTTGCTTGTGTACGTGTCATTCCTGGAAATATGTACTTTATATTTATAGATTCTTGATCCAGTCTTGTAGTCTTTCAACCTTTAGTAAAGAATATTTGCTTTTTCTTGCATTAATTAATAAGTTCAAAGAGTACCTAGTTGGGGAAAGCAATCAAGTTTTTTCAAGCTGTCGTATCACAACAATCCATAAATTGATGAATCAGTCATGACCTAATTAGTTTATTTATTTCAGTTCGATGAAGACTTTTTTCCCTTTAATATGGCTATCTTGCAAATGAAATTAGAGCATTGTTGGATTTAATTAAATATAATTATCTCAAAAAAAAAAAATATTCACACGGACTCAAACTCAATTGAGATTTGATGTTTAAGCAGTCATGCATAATCCTTCCACTAAAACCAACACATACCTATTGGTAAAGGCATAATTCTTTCTAAAAAAGAATAAAAGAGTTTTTCGTTGCTTTTCAAAAGAGTCTCCATGTTATATTTAATTGTATTTATATATTAATTATATTTCTCCACAGAACATTAGGAATTTTTGTTTAAAAGTCAATGAGCTTATTTCGTTTCTTTTGGATTTTCAACGTACTCAATTTATTAAAAGAATTGATTATAGATATAATACAAAAAAGTGATAAAAATAAATAAGTTTAAGGGAAAAAATAAAATATCTCTCTCACACACATGTATTTTTAATTTTTTTTCATTTTTTCTCTTATGATTATATTTGATTTTATAATTACACAAAAATTTAATATTTTTGAAAGTATAATCAAAGGCATAAAATATGTAGGGAAATTATTCTAGGAGTCCTTAGAGTTTGTGTCAGTTTTGAATCAGGTCCCATAGTTTCGTTTGTTGGAATTAGGCCCTTGTATTTTTTTCTTAGGTTAAGCTGGTGAATCCTTCTACCGTTATTGCTAGTTGGATTTAATCATGACATGATGGAGGATGAGGTGGGACGAGTAAATATCTCATTATCTATTGCCAGCTAAGTGTTCCCACTATCGAAGTTGAGATGACAGCTAACATATATTCCCTTTATTTTTTATTGTTAAAAAAATTATTATTTTTAAGTTTTAACTTATATTTTTTTTATTAACAAAATTACTTATTTCAATTAGTATTTATTACACATTTTTTAAATCATTCTTCATAATTTACATTAATAAAAAATAATGAATTTATGGTTTTGTTAATTAACATAAGGCATTATAGTTCACTTTTTTAAAAAAAAAAATTCAGACATTATCCTTATAATTAACTGATTTTGTTAAGCTGTGAGATATAATTTTTTTATATATATAAAAATGGAGGGAGTAAGCCATTGTAAGGAAGGTAATGGTGGCAGCTCAAGAGGTTAGTGGTGAAGGTGGCGTTGTGCTCAAACATCCTAAACCGTTGGCCTTCTCTGTTATTCGCGACGTAAGAGCTGAGGGGAGACACAGGCTTCGGACAAGAGTCTAGTGGAAGCGGTGGTGATGCCTCCATCTCCATGAAATCCAAATCCTAGAGCACCATTTGATTTTCTAGGCTATATATATATGTGTGTGTGTGTGTGCGTGTGATACTTGAAAGTTTGTGATTATATGAGATAATGCTATAACTCAGAAACAGAGTGGATCTATAGAGGTGGAGAAAAATGGCAAGTTTTGATTTTGTTGAACCGTTTGATGTTTCGCTCTCTTCTTCTAGTTACGGTGTTGAAAACAATAATCTACTCCTTTCTTTTTTAAGAGAAAAAAAACTCTATCACATTGTTTAATTAAAAAAATTAAGTAACTATATTAATTATATCTGAAAATAAAAAAATTAGACTACAATATCCTTCATTAATTATATTAATCAAACCTTTATTAATTGTTTCTTATAACTATGAATGATAAAATTATGAAGGATAATTTTAAAAGTTTACAATAAATACTTATTAAAAAAATGTGATTTTAGTTAGATAAAAAAACAAGCCAAAAGTGATAGTTTTTTTTATATAAATAAAAATAGAGGGAGTACTTAACAGCTTAAACTAATGGAGTTAAAGGATTTGCTAGGTATTTCCCAAATATATAACTAAGAAATTTTAATTATTATTTTACGCAAATATATAGTGAGAATATATAAGAGATAATCTCCCTATTAATTACAACATTAGATAAATTAAAATCTAATTATTTATAATCAATCACAGTCAACGCTACACTAATCAATCATAGCCGATAAATATTACATATTTTTAACTTCTTCTTTTTTCCTTTAAATTTATTTAATACAATTATTTGATATATAATACTATCAAACAGGGGCGGAAGTAGAGTTAGAAATAAGGGTTGGGCCTAGACGGCTGAGCTTTAAGACCCTATTTAAATAAGGGTTTGAGCTTTAAAAATAATTTTTTTTAAAGTAATCGAGTTTGAGGGTTTGGCCCTAATAAACCCTATAAAAAAGGGCCCGGGCCCTAGATGCCCTTCGAGCCCTGTTATATTATTATTATTATTATTATTATTATTATTATTATTATTATTATTAT